TTGATGAACCCTAGAATATTCAGTTTTCCTCTGGAGATGAGCTTAGGCATGTTTAGAATGTTCAGTATAACAGCATAAATGTTGGGAGAATGATATTTATGTGCTTGTAATTCATTAATATTTTTTGTCCTCTGGCCAGCTAGTAGACAATTTCCTGTTCAATAATTGTAACATTATAATATTTATAATTGTAATATTCCCAAACTGTGGAAAATAGGCAGATGAATGAGGGATTTTTTTACCCCGCACTGTGATTATCCATTCATTGATACTGTTACCTCTGTTTGTTACAGACACTGGAGGATGCACTCACCTTGATTTTCAGACATCCTACGCTGGAGAGCTGGTTCCTGGCCTTGGAACTGTGCTCTGTTCCTCAGCCTGGTTTGAACCCTGTCACTGTGAAGCTCCTGTCAGCTCACCTCAATTCCGGGGTGCTCCAGCTGCTGAAAACAGGTGCCCCCATGGTGCAGGGCGTCACAACGGATCACAGACACGTGTTGTCCAAGTATTTCGAAGCTATCACAAAACGTGAAGAGCTGCAGACTGTGGGGAATGTCTATCCCAGGAAGTCTCACCAGCTGGAGGAGCTGCACATGTACATGACTGCAGCTCAGCTGAAGATCACTCTACCCATGCTGCAACTCCCTGAGATGAGCTTGACTGATCAGAAATCTGAAAAATCCCCTAAAAAAGGGAAGCAGTTAAACTTCTATGGACAAATTTTGGTGAAGCTCCTTACAGACAGCTACCAAAGGCATCCCCAGCAAGGAGAATTTCTGCTACCCACAGAGCACATTAAAGCTTTGGGGATATTGATGTCAGCATCGGCCAGCAAAGATTTGGAGGAAGTTTTCCTTCAGGCTCTCCAAAGTGAGCCAGTCCTTGCTCTCGCAGTTGGTGTCGAGGTTCAAGCTCACTGCCTTGCCCAGTGCTCACACACCTCCCTGGCCATTGTGGCCATGCTGATCCAGCACTCCAGGACTCATCTGCTGCAGTTTGAGCTCTGGTGTCTGAGCAGTGCCACTGGGAAGTACCTCAGGAAACGCATGGAGAGCTTTCTTCCACTCATTAATGTCTATTTGCAATGCAGAGACCAGTATGGCTTCAGCCGACCTTCCACAGGTAAAGGCACTGCTGAGCTCTGCTTGTGATTCAGGAGGCCAAATTCCCTGTTCAGGTTCTGCTGGCCTTGAGGTCGTGGAATCTTTACACAATAGATGAAGGTGATAAAACTTAGATATCTGACCTCTGAGGACTGTCTTGGAAGTACCTCTGCAGCAGTAAAGGTGAAGAGCTGTTCTGAGGGTTGGCTGTTAGACTGAAGCCAAATGCACTTACTGCTGCCCGGATTTCTCTTTAGAAGCCCTTATTTAATGCTTAGTGCATGTGAAAATCTGTCATTGTGCTTCTCTTGGTTTAGTACAGGAGGGAAAACCTTTTGCTCAGGCATGGATAGAAGAGTGTCTGGAGTGTGCAATGCCACAGCCAGATGGTTTTTGCAGAACCTGAGCTTTCACTTTTACAGAGTCCAAAAATTTCTTCTAAAACAAATCTCCAGCTGTGGGCTGGCTACAGTAATGCCCTCCTAAGATGGCAGTCCAGAGCTTTCCAAACCCACAGCAGCGTTACATGTATGGACAAGTGTGTTAAATCTCTACCAGCAAAACAATGAGTTAGGGTTCAACTGGGTAGAACAGGATCACTTTAATTTCATTTCTCTTATTGCCCAGAAATGTAAATAGCAAAGGAAGCAGGCTAACTGGAGCTGTAGCTCTACCTGCAAGGTCAAGCAATGATAAGACCTTGTCAGCACCCTGGGAAGTAGAGGATGGGCAAAGAAGTGAGCCTCTGTGTAGCATTTCTCTGTAACAGACTAGCAGCTGCTGTAGCATCATTTCCTAGAACTTGAGTAGTTTGGGCCTGGATTAGAAAGTGATTTGGGATTAGTGTGTTGTTGTTTAACACCTGCAGGTGGTGGAACCTGTGCCTTCTGCTCTCCCAACAGTTGTCTCAGCTGTCACACCTGTCCTGAGGAAAGCCCTGTGGAAGGAGCTCTGTGCCGAGATTCAGGACACTGGGGCGTTACATGAGGCCTCTGTGAAACTGCAAATTCTTTCAAAGCTGTTGCCACCTTTGGAAAGCAAAAGGCTGCACAACCTAATAGGACACCGGGGCGTCGCATGAGGCCACTGTCAAACTGCAAATTCTTTCAAAGCTGTTGCCACCTTTGGAATGCAAAAGGCTGCACAACCTAATGGACTGCCTTCCTGCTGCTCTGGAGAGAGCAGGGAATGAAGAAAGGTCGGCAGTGTGTGTGTGCCTCCCTCAGGGCTGTTTGTCCTGGGAAGCACTGTGATAGGAATGGGAGCGGTAGCAGAATCCTCTCTTCAGAGAATCCCTTGCTTTGCACTTTGGCAGCAAAACATCTTTGACATATACAAAACCAACTTAAAATATTAATATCTCTGCAGTTGGGCCGTGGCAGATGCCATATCCACAGTGCTTAAAAACTCAGAGGAGCTGCATTCCTGGAGGAGAAATCTCTTGTCAGCCTGCATAAAGGGGTTAGTTGCCATGTACAGCAGCAGTAAAGATGAAAGCAAGCAAGAAGTGGAGAGATCCATACTGCTGAGGCTAGAGGAATTATTGGTGAGACTTCTTATCTGCTTTGCCGCAGTGGGACTGTATGCAAATGTGTGATTTGGCAGTTGTAGATTTTGTAAGTGCAGATGAGGCTGATTTCCTGTTTTATGGATTCTGGTTTCCATGGACTTCTAATAGCTTTTGCAGAGTCCTGGTAATCCTTTATATGAAGCAATTTTACATTCTTGATGATGGCTTTCTTGTAAGAATCCTCTTTAAGTCTCCTGCTCCCAGACCAACAAAACACTTGCAGTTTCCTTTGCACCAGGAATTAGGATTGTTGTGTCCAAGAGCTTTTTTCCCTGTTATCCTGTGATCATCCCACATGGGTGTTTGGCTTGCATGTTCTTAGTGTGTCCCTTGAACAAAAATTGCTGTAGAAGCTCCGTGTGCCAAATGTAAACCAGCACCTCTTCTTACTTGCTGCACACAGTGTGTGGTTGAAGAAGTGGACCCAGATGACTTGTGCTGCCTTGTGAAGACAGGACTCAAGTAAGTGTTTTCATTTTAATTTGGTTTCGTTTTACTAAGTTCATTTTCTTTGCAAAGTTCTCATTTCTTAAACAACTCTTAATTTCAAGCAGGTTTCCTTGGGACTGGTTATGATCTGACTTCTCTGTGGTCCTTCTCCCAAAGGTACCGTTACAGAGATGAAACATTTCTGAAGGTCCTGAACGTTGCCATCCAGTTACTGTACAAGAAAGAATCCTCACTTAGTCAGAGCTTAGTCAAGCTCTCCAAACTTCACATGATGGTCACACAGCACTCTCTGTTTTTGTCAGCCATCCTGAGGTCAAGAGAAGAAGATGGCACGAACACCCAGACAAGAGGTATTTTTTAATCATCTTTCCATACTTAATACAGTTAATCTTGTCTTTCTTGCATTATATTCTCTCCATCCAGTAACACACCCACCTACTTGCAGAGTTATTAACAGTTCCAGAATATTGGCATTTAGATTGGATACAAATGCTTGGATACAAATGTTACACTCATTTTGTGCTGGTTTTAAACACTTCTGTTTATAAAACTACTGGAAAGATGGGTTTGGGTTTTTATTTTGGGTTGTGGTTTTGTTTGTTTGTTTGTTTGTTTTTGTGGTATTTTTAACCCAGTCGAAGTCTTGGATTGATTCTTTTGGTTTCTGTGAGGCAGTTAGTGTAAGATCACTAACTTGGGTTTTAGATCAGAAGATACTGCTGTTGCTTCAGTTGTATGAGAAGAATAATCAAAGTCTTATAAACTCTAGGTAAGCTAAACACCTAACTTTGTTGGGCAAACTACACACAGGTAGTCTCACAACTGGTATTTTTCCAGGGTCTCATTTTTAAATGAAGGAGACAGTGAAAAAGGTGAAACCTAAAGATGGATGTTGCTTTTGGAAACACTTGTACTACACATTTCCTATTCTTAATGTAATTCTCTTATGTAGCCCAGACTTCTGTGTGTCTGTAGGTTAGATGAGGGAATGTCTCATTTCTGGAGTCACTCACTCTCCATAATTGGGAATCACTATAGGCGTCTTCTCACAGATGGGAGGCTGAACCACAAGTCACTAATGGACTTTTCCCTTTCCTATGCCCAAGCAGTCTACATGAAAGTCTGTTGCCAACAATTGTGCTTTGGTCTGCCTTCCTCACATGCACTTTGCTGTCTTGGAGGCAGGAGCAGAAATAGCTTCAGCAGTGCAAGAGCACTGGCTCAGGCAGCTGAGGCAGGTCTGGATTCCTGTCCTTTCATGCAGCTGCTGTCATCCTTACCTGCACTTACAGCTTAAATCCATAGGTGCCTCTGAATGGGTACATTCTGGCTTGGATGGACAGTGGAGGGCAGAGTGAGTGAGACACCCTCAGACTAAATTTGAAAATCTTTGGGATGGATGGAAAAGGTGTTGCCAGTGAAATGAGTTGTAGTTTCAAGTCCCACAGGGTACTAACTACAAGTGAGGACAAAATTTTGGTACTAATTGATCTCCTCTGTAATTGCTTTTGGCTCTGTTGCCTAATGTGTTTACCTTTAACAATGTTTAAGGATCCTCCTGTGGGGTCCAGCTGCTGTGGAGCATCACAAGACTTGCAAGAGTCTGGGGAAGTCCTTGTGGCAGCAGCCAAGCATGGAGGAGATTCTGCGTCTGCTGGATCGAGAGAAGATGATGAAGACGGTTCTGTCGTTCCCTCAGCATCGTCGGCTGCTGCCATCACAGGTGCTTTCAGTTCAGCCTTTCCATGGTTACCCTTCTTTGGATATGAGCCATTAATGTCTTGCATCCATGTAGTACACGGCAGTTTGTTTCCACCAGGAGAGTAATTTTGATTCATAGGAGGAATTAGTTCTTCAGGAGCACTTTTCAAAGTAATCGCAAGGTACGGGCCACATCGTGTCAGCAGGGGTGGTAGTGCGTTACAGAGGTTGTCATGTATGTGAGACCAGGATTGGACAGCCCAAGGATCCACTGGCTCTCCAGCCTTTCTTACAGTTTGCTGGATTACTTCTGTAGCTGTTGATGCTGGTCAGGGTAAATAGTTGTGGATGTACTCTCATAGTGAAAGCCGGGTTTAAACACAAACTTGTCTCACCCTGTGTTGCATTGTATTTTACAAGGTGTAGTATCATGTGCTTTATAGTGGGATGAGGTGGTTGTGGAAATTGGAAACCAAGCCTGAAATTGGTGTTGTTCCTTACAAATACTTCCTTATTGTTCCTTACAAATACTTGTTTGGATTTGGTTTCAGGGGATACAAGAGTCACTATATAAAGATGAAACAGTGAAGAGCCTAGATGACTTCTACGATCCTTGTTTTCTGCTTCAGCTCTTCAGTGAACTGACCAGACCAGGTAAAGTGTGTGTTTCTCTTTGGTATGTAGTGTCAGGTTGCTCTGCTGCAGGAGCTGCACCTGGAGCGCAGTTATCCCTGATCCGAGAGCTAATACTGCAAGGAATTTGTGCCTGTCTTTAGAGGGAAGAAACAAACTACTGTGAGGGCTGTGACTGAACTGGCTGGAGATCTGGCTTGTTACAGAACAGGGAGACTTCAGCCAACTCATTTTCCACCAGACAGATGGGCATGAGGCCAGTGTGTTTCACAAATAGGCTGGTGCTCTGAAATGTCAGCAAGTTGATTGTCTGGCATGACTCGGCTGAACCACAAGTCACTAATGGACTTTTCCCTTTCCTATGCCCAAGCAGTCTACATGAAAGTCTGTTGCCAACAATTGTGCTTTGGTCTGCCTTCCTCACATGCACTTTGCTGTCTTGGAGGCAGGAGCAGAAATAGCTTCAGCAGTGCAAGAGCACTGCTGAACCACAAGTCACTAATGGACTTTTCCCTTTCCTATGCCCAAGCAGTCCACATGAAAGTCTGTTGCCAACAATTGTGCTTTGGTCTGCCTTCCTCACATGCACTTTGCTGTCTTGGAGGCAGGAGCAGAAATAGCTTCAGCAGTGCAAGAGCACTGGCTCAGGCAGCTGAGGCAGGTCTGGATTCCTGTCCTTTCATGCAGCTGCTGTCATCCTTACCTGCACTTACAGCTTAAATCCATAGGTGCCTCTGAATGGGTACATTCTGGCTTGGATGGACAGGGGAGGGCAGAGTGAGTGAGACACCCTCAGGCTAAATTTGAAAAGCTTTGGGATGGATGGAAAAGGTGTTGCCAGTGAAACGAGTTATAGTTTCAAGTCCCACAGGGTACTAACTACAAGTGAGGAAAAATGTTGGTACTAATTGATCTCCTCTGTAATTGCTTTTGGCTCTGTTGCCTAATGTGTTTACCTTTAACAATGTTTAAGGATCCTCCTGTGGGGTCCAGCTGCTGTGGAGCATCACAAGACTTGCAAGAGTCTGGGGAAGTCCTTGTGGCAGCAGCCAAGCATGGAGGAGATTCTGTGTTTGCTGGATCGAGAGAAGATGATGAAGACGATTCTGTCGTTCCCTCAGCATCACCGGCTGCTGCCATCACAGGTGCTTTCAGTTCAGCCTTTCCATGGTTACCCTTCTTTGGATATGAGCCATTAATGTCTTGCATCCATGTAGTACACGGCAGTTTGTTTCCACCAGGAGAGTAATTTTGATTCATAGGAGGAATTAGTTCTTCAGGAGCACTTTTCAAAGTAATCACAAGATACGGGCCACATCTTGTCAGCTGGGGTGGTAGTGCATTACAGAGGTTGTCATGTATGTGAGACCAGGATTGGACAGCCCAAGGATCCGCTGGCTCTCCAGCCTTTCTTACAGTTTGCTGGATTACTTCTGTAGCTGTTGATGCTGGTCAGGGTAAATAGTTGTGGATGTACTCTCATAGTGAAAGCCGGGTTTAAACACAAACTTGTCTCACCCTGTGTTGCATTGTATTTTACAAGGTGTAGTATCGAGTGGTTTATAGTGGGATGAGGTGGTTGTGAAAATTGGAAACCAAGCCTGAAATTGGTGTTGTTTCTTACAAATACTTGTTTGGATTTGGTTTCAGGGGATACAAGAGTCACTATATAAAGATGAAACAGTGAAGAGCCTAGATGACTTCTACGATCCTTGTTTTCTGCTTCAGCTCTTCAGTGAACTGACCAGACCAGGTAAAGTGTGTGTTTCTCTTTGGTATTTAGTGTCAGGTTGCTCTGCTGCAGGAGCTGCACCTGGAGCGCAGTTATCCCTGATCCAAGAGCTAATACTGCAAGGAATTTGTGCCTGTCTTTAGAGGGAAGAAACAAACTACTGTGAGGGCTGTGACTGAACTGGCTGGAGATCTGGCTTGTTACAGAACAGGGAGACTTCAGCCAACTCATTTTCCACCAGACAGATGGGCATGAGGCCAGTGTGTTTCACAAATAGGCTGGTGCTCTGAAATGTCAGCAAGTTGATTGTCTGGCATGACTCGGCTTTGCACGTGCACATCCCTGCTGTGCTCCACGGACACACTGTCCCTGGAGAGAGCCCTCAGAGGCCAAAGGAAGACAAGAAGTCTGAGGCATTTCCTAACCAGCTATCTCCCTGTGTTGGTTATGGTAGTAGTTACAGCTAGATTTGTCTTTCCACAGCAGTAATATTAGAAGCAATTGGCAGGCTGTTAGTGTCTGTCAGTGAAATCACACTCAGTCCTTTGTTCACCCAGACCCCTGCAAGTACAGCACCTGTTTGGGTGTGCTTAGCCTGTCCTTAGCTATGGTTTGAACTGCTCTGTGTAATCCCAGCAGCAGGAAAAGAACTGTCTTTAAGTCCTCTGAGGAGAAAAGGTACTAGAGCTATCTGACATTTTGCAGTTGGAGGGATCTTAGACAATCCGGTTAATGCTGGGCCTTTGAGGTGCACAGGGAGGAAGAGCATGGACAGCTGGTGTCTTTGGAACCTAGTGCTGGTAGCTGGAGAAAGGACACTCTGCCAGCACCTCTCACCCTGTAGAGGGAGGGATTTAGTGTCTGTTGCAGCCCCAGCAGCAGTGCAGCTGCTCGGTGGCTGCTGATGTGGGAAGCACCAAGGTGGAGGCAATTGTGTACATCATGTTCTTGTGGAGCTGTGAAGACAGTGGCTGTTCTGAATCTGAACCTGGAGAGGAGAAAATAGCCCTCTTAGCTTCTCCATACCGAGTGAGAGTCTGTGTCCTAGGAGGGGCATTTTTAAAGGGCCCAAATGATTTATGAGTCCCAGTCCCATGGTGCTTGTAAACCATGTCAGCTGCTCTTGGAATTCACAGTTCTTTATTTATTTGCTCTTTGTCCTGGCTGCACAGTGCCATCAGAATACATAAACATGGACTTCTTGCACGGTGTTTAGTGCTCGCTGAGGAAAAAGCAAGTCTGGGGCTGGGCAGATAGCAAGGCCTATCTATCTTTAGCTCTGATAAGCATCTTATGGAAAACTTTTCCATCCTGGTTCTCAAGGTCCTTTAAATAAGCTGTGTGTCAGACATAGAATTAAATTGGGGTGCTTTTCTAATAAGAGCTTGTTATTTTATGTCAGTTATTGAACACATTCTCCAGGGGCAGCAGGATGGAAAATATTACCACTGCATGTTTTCAGTGAAGGAAAGTTTTCCAAATAAATCTT